AAAAAAAAAATTAAGATGATGCTTTTAATTAACATCTTTCCTACATATTTTTTACAAAAATATCTCATAAGAGAAAGAAGGAAAGAGAACTAGTTTTGACGAAGCCTCTGTAGGTGCCAGGCACCTCACTGTGTTACACTTCTCAGAACAAACATTGATCCTCTCAGTGAGCCTGTGCTGGTAGAGTTGGTGATGGCGATCACTGTCAACTAGGGAGGTTAAATAACTCACACAGTTATTTAACACAGATTAGTGGCAGAACAGGGATTTGATTCTTTTGCTGTAAAAGATTGATCATAATTATAAATTAGGTTTTCTACATTTTGGTAAATAATAAATAGATATTTATTATATATATGTTTTGATGGCAGAAATCTCAATAGATTTTGGTAAAATTATATGACTTTGTTTTTAAAAAAGGATAATAGGAACGAATTTTATTTTTTTTTCTTTTAAATCAGGTTCTTTTTTTTTTGATCATCAAATGGAATGAGCGCCCTCTACTGGCGGTTCTTCAAAGGCGTAGGCATTGGGTTTTTCTGAGATGGGGCGGAGGGTGGAGGGCACAACTCTTTCAGTATGAGCTTCCTGTCTACTTCCATAGTCATCGTCTTCACAAGCTTTTGGGTTGATGTCTATACATTTTGAGGAAATATTGTTAACATTTTAGTTTGCACTCTTGGGCTCAGGTGATCCTCCTGCCTCAGCCACCCGAGTAGCTGGAACTACTGGTGTGCGCCACCTAGCTAATTTCTCTATTTTTTGTAGAGATGGGGTCTCAGCCTTGCTCAATCTGGGTTTGTACTTGTAAATGAATTTTTAAAAATTCAGCCTTCACTCAAAGTTAGGCCCTTTCTGATTACCGTAGTTTAGCATCAGAATCTTTTCTCGAGAAGTAACTGTGCCAGTGAGTAAACTTTCAGAGGTTATTATCTTCTGAGGTCCAGGAGGATCAGGCCCCCAGTATAAGCAGAAGGCTTTGGTAGATGCTTCCTTCATCCTTGAATCCCCAAGAGGAATCCTTGACCTTCCAGTGGGAGAGCTCCTTGTGACCCACCCCACATTGGACCTGTTTCCTAATTATTCTGTGAGAGGAAGGAGAAGCTGAGATTGTCTTTGCCTGCCTGGCATGGCTGTTTCTAGCAGGGTAAACGTCCTGGCTTCCCCGCTCTTTAATCTCCGCTGTCATGGCTGTGCAATGTAGCAGTTAACATGCAAGGGCTTTGATGACAAACAGACTTTGAATAGAGCCACTTACTAGAAGGCTACCTATTTCCTTTGTGTTTCAGTGTCCTTATCTGTAAAATGAGGGTGAGCATTCCAGCCTTTGAGGGCAGCATCAAGAATCACAGGAGATTGTGTGCACAAGCTGCTTAGCATGAAACCTTGTATGCAACAGGACTCAGCGAGGGGCTGGGGTAGAGGTGCCAGCTGCTTCTCTAGGACATTTGATTGGGCCCTCAAGGGACACAGAAAGATAATTACTCCTTTATATTGGTGACATAGTTTATGGTCATAAACAGAATGGCCTTGGGTCCGGAGGCCAATTATATTTCTGTTTTTGCCATAAAATCATAGCATAAGATTATCCCTAAAACAGCATAATTATTTATGGTTATAATCATATTCAATTTCAAACTGGGCTATAGATTTTGTATACATTAGTAGTAAATATTGGTTATCTAGTAACTCTGTAAGATTCTGTGTTTGGG